CCCCTAGAGAAACCACTCCCCAACCTCCAGAACCTACTTCCACTCAGAGTAAAAGTTATAGGGTTATGGAGTGCTGAAAGAAGCCTCTACCTTGTAGTACAGTTAAGTTTGGCTAACAAGGAAGAATGAACAGTTTAAGTCTATACTTTGGCAGTTGGCACAGATGCATGCTGCTGAGTCCCTTCCACTCGAGAGCATTTGCCAATTTTAAAGAGCAAATGCTTTGCCGACTAGCCTGTTCTCCCTTAGGGGCCTATTCACCTTGTGGGCTCTATCCCCTTGTAGTGTCTCTTAAAACAAGAGTAATGTGGTAATTATTCTGTCTTCAAAAAGATTATTGCTTGTTCCTCCCATTTAACTAAGTCCTAAGTATGTTAGGCAGAATAATGACCCTTCAGAGACGTCCATGTCAAATTCCCAGAAATTGAGAACATGTTCAATTTTGTGGCAAGGGGAAAACTGATGTTCTAAATGTAATTAAGTTTACAAATCAGCAGACTTTAATATAGGAAGATGGCTTGGTTTTCCGGGTAGGCCCAATGTTACCACGAGGGCCCTAAAATGTGGAAGAGGGAGGGCAGAGAGATTCACGGTCCTAAAATGTGGGAGAGGGGCAGCTGAGGGAAACTGCTAGGGGAGGGAGGGGCCTACCTCATCAACAAGAGTCCCTGCATGATCAATGTTTATATACCTAACCTTGAATTGTACCCCACATCTTTATAATAAAAATTTTTTAAAAATGTGGAAGAGGGAGGACAGAGAGATTCAGTGATGCAGTGTGAGAAAAGACTCAACCAGTCATTGTTGGCTTTGAAGGTTGAATGGGAGCAAGAGCCAAGAAGTGCTGGTGGCCTCTAGAAGCGGAAAAGGACAGAAAAACAGATTCTCCACAAAAACCTCCAGAAAGAAAGCAGCCCTGCCAATACTGGTTAGAACCATTTTGGATTTCTGACCCCCAGAAATGTAAGGTAATAAAATATGTGTTGTTGTAAGCCAGAAAGTTAGTAGTATGTTTTACAGTATCAATAGAATTCTAATACATTATAGTATTCATGGGACTCAATGAGTGCAAGAGGGAGAAGTTAGATATGTAATACAGGTAGAGGCAGATGCATGATCACATAGAAGGAATTTAAAATCAGGCCAAGAGAAGTGTGGCAAAAACATTTTCTTTACTCCGCCCAGGCCTCATCTGCTTCTAGGGAACATACAGGAGTAGAATGTGTGGCAAAATCCAGACTAGATTGTGACACTGTCCTACTGAGAGGAAAAATCCCATTGTTCCAGTTCATCCCAGAACTTGCAGAATAAGTAGATATGCCAGTCCTGTCACCCTGTCAGCACTCTGTGGACAGGGCGCCTCTGCTCTGGTACAAGGCAGCACCTCCTTTCTCCCTGCTCTATCCTCTACATTTGACATAGCAGGTAGGCCTGGCCTGGGTTGGCTGGAGTCAGGCTCTCTCAGGCTCTCCTGGCACACAAACTGCTTCTCTGGGTTCCCCAATTCAGAACACAGGCACTGCACCACCCCAGCTCCTGTGTCTCCACATCTTCAGCAAGTTCGGAGGTATATCCACTGCAAGCACACCTGCCATTCAGAGCCCAATTCAAAACTCAATTTAGAGCAAAACCCATCTCTATACCAATGGAGAAAGAAGGGTGGGTCTCTAGTACCTTCAACTCCAGCCATATTTCAAGATATGTGCAAATCAACTCTCTGAATCTAGGTTCAACTTCTTCAGGGTTTCCCTTAACTATCTCCTTTCTGGGAGCCATCTTAGTCCCTCCCCAGGGACTCTGGATGACAACGAGGCCTCGGTGCCTCCTAGTGGTCAGTGCATATATCAGCACAAATGTGCTCTGTTGCGAAAACGTAAGAGGGGTATATGGGATTTTATGATTGGTGGGTGTTACAAGGCCAAATAAATAATATTAGTATTATGGCCTAACATGGAATCACCTTAGAGATGAACGTTTGGGTCAGACAGGTGGAGATGATGTCAATTTTAATATTGATAAATAGCAGGGCTCAATTAGGGACCGAATAGGCTGACTTACACTATCCTAATTCTGAATTTAACTCATTTTCTCTCCTGTTTGAACTGCAGGCCAACCCTGTATGGAGAAAACGTTCTCCACTGATTTTTTTATTTTTATTTTTTTAATTTTTTAAATTTGAGTCGGAGTCTCGCTCTGTCACCCAGACTGGAGTGCAGTGGCCGCTCCCGGCCACCACAGCCTCGACCCGCTGGGCTCCGGCGATCCTTCTGCCTCAGCCTTCCAAGGAGCCGGAATTACAGGCATTTGCTACCATGCCCGGCTGATTTTTTGATTTATTGTAGAGATGAGGTCTTGCTGCCCAGGCGGGTCTCGAACCCACGGGCTCAGGCAATCCACTCACCTCAGCCTCCCAAAGGCACGGGATTACAGGCTGAGCCACCGAGCCCGGCTTCCACTGATTTTAATCCATCCCCAAATCTACTTTTTTTCTAGATAGGCAGAAGGCAAGCAGGAAGATGAAGAGAAACTAAGTGAAGATCAAGAGACTAAATAATATAACTTATTTCCATTACCATAGAGAAGATTTGGTCAGGAATAGGAAGGCTAAAACAGGAGTATTCCTTTAGGAGAGCCCCTCAGAATGGAGAGTATTGAACAAAGTGCTATTCCAGGAGATTGAGTTTTAGTGAAGAAAGATGGTAACAATTTATTAAATTCTTTCTCCAATTCCAGCCCTTGCACTTCAGGTCTGCTCATGAAACACAGCACAAATGTGTAATAACAGTGCAGCAATTACCTTCATTCCAAACCCTTTCTGTATTACCTGACCTAATCTAAATATTCTCTTTATTCTACTTTCCATGTTGTCACATGGTCCAATGGAACATCAGAGGTTATGTGAGAACAGTAAATAGCAATGTAAGAATACACCAATAATAAAACGTCCAAATAGATGTCCCAATGTGATTACAAATGTCCTTTAATGTTTTAAAATTGAAAAAATTAAAAAATATTTTGGTTGAAATCAAAGTTTAACACCTCTATGCTATTTCGGTTAAATATCAAACAAATCACAGATGAAAAATCTAACATTAAAATTCAAAGAAAAACAACTGAAAGTAAAATTATTGTCACTTTAATTCTAGTAACTAAGGATAATGGCATTCAATCTTTCTGGTGTTATCTACATTGCTCGGAAATATATTTCTATAAAATTTAAAAAACTTCAACTAATTAATGTTCTAAAAATGTAATGAGGAATAACTTGGCTGGAATCTTGAAGAGGGCAAGAGTCTGCGGAGACTGAGGGCATTTTCTGATCCCAATTCAGCACTCATGGAGCTGACTCACGGGCCAGAGGGATAAATTCAAAGACCAAAAAGCACCAAAGGTAGCCCTTGACAAACTCAAAGAATAACAATAGCCAAAACTAAACCTATTCTCTAGGTGATCCTAGATACCTCAAGCCCTGAATTAGGATGCAGTGAGCCTCAAATTGTTTATACTTCTACATACTTGGCAGAAATGTAATAAAATTTCCTCTGGAGGAAGATATGTTCGCCTTATACCTCATACCTTATAACTTACACCTTAGCTGTGGTTAAGCTGTTGGCACAGAGATACACAGCTGAGTCCCCAAACTCTGTAGGCTGGATCTTATACCAAAATTTATTTCCACAACCATAGCATCTGGCACAACATCAAAGATGATCAGATTTGTAAGCAAAAATATAAACACCGTGAATATACAAATGCCAAGATTGGAGAAGTAGCACAAAAAGAAAACCAACAAAAATAGCCCACACATACATATGTCAGAGGTGAAAATTATCAGACTCTGAAACAACTGTGTGTCTTATGCCCAAATAAATAAAAAATGATCACAGAAAAATGTTGTGATGTAGTTACTGCCTATAAGAACTGACAGCAGATTGGAAAAAGCTCAAATAACAATTTTGGCAAGGAGATAGTGAATGATAGTCTTCATTGTTCACATGTGTGAAGTTTTGTCAAATCAGTAAAAAGAGGAAGAGAAGGGGATGTGCAGTTACCAAATGGACATAAAGTATGACCTGCAGTAAAGTTTTAGGTTGAATTGGGAGAGAAGGGAAGCCTGGAGGGGCTGAGGGACAGTGACAATGACGTCAGCGGATTCCCATTCAGCAGCTTTCCAAAAACAATTTCAACCAATCCTTCAGAAGGATTTCTGGCAGTATCTTAGAGAGTCTAGGCATAAGTAGACTAAGAAGCTACACACACAGAAGGTATTATCAGAGGGAGACATTAATTCAGAAAAAAACATTGCTTCAGATGTTCTTGCAGGACTGTTTTAATGCACTAAGGAACTATTTTGTTATACAAAAGCACACAAGTCGAAATGTCCTCAACAGCCTTTGAACTGGCTGGGCAGGATGTAGATATACTGTTGGGTTGTGGCAGTGACATTGAAAGTTAGAGAGGTCTGAAGAAGTAGAATTTATTCTGAGCTAAGTTTTGGGGCTTGGTGTGAGGATTTTGATTTCTGTGCATTTCTTTGAAGTTGTAAAAGGACTGAATAACATAGCTGAAATTACCACCATTATCAGCAATGTCATTATTAACATATTTCACACACACACACACAAATCAAAGAAAAAGATTTCCAAACACATGCTGTGTTGCCCCTGCTAGAGAACTGGGCTGTCACAAAGGAACATTCAAATCATTGAGAAATCACTACAGAGAAATCACTACAGAGAAAGAGCCTGCTCTTTGTTAGTCACATGTAATCACTATCTATATTGTTAAGTTTATTGTGTATGTTTCATGATTGCATATTTTTATGACAGAACAACCATCACTATCCCTGAGGACTAAGTCTGTGATAAGGCACTTTCAGTTTGGGTTTCTTGAGTTGTCATCAATAAGTGTTTCAAATCCCTGAGATGTAATTGTTTTCGATAATTGAAATTCTCGTGTTTTAAGAAATAGTTCATTTTCTCCCATCATATATATTACAGCTATATCTGAAATTCCACCTTTTCCCCTGAATGATGAGGAACAAGGACAGGTTGCTGTAAGCTGAGTAGAAAAGAGGAGAGCCCTACAGCTTTATGCACAGGAGGGAAGTGTCTCTGCAGTGCTGTGGCTAAGCTGCTGGCACAGAGATACACAGCCGAGTCCCCAAGTTCGGCAGGCTGGATCTTAAGAGTGGAATTAACTCCTTTGCGCCTCTCTACAGAAAATCGATCTTTGGGCAACTGTGAATCATCTAATACAGCCTCATTCTGAAATTGAATCAGGAGCTCCGGGCCCTGTCCTAGGCTCTGTCGGTACCAGTAAAGAGTGTTGTGTCCAGAAACAGGATCACACCAAAAAACCACGGCCTGACTTTTCTCTGTAATCTTGTGTCTGGGGGACTGTGTGACTCCAGCTTCTGTGAGTTCTGTGGAGGAAAAGACCACATTTTAAAACAGAAAGAAGAAAAAAATTGGAATAATCACTGGGAGATACATTATGGAGACCCGGTAACCTGAGGACTCACCTGTCCCCAGGAGACAGAAGGCCACCCAGCAGAGGAGCCTGGTGCCCATGGCAGGGGCAGGGTAGGATGGGAGGCTCACCAGATCAGGATCCTTGTGAGCAGGAACAGAGGAAAAGGGACGACCCTGCCCCCACACAGCAGTTGCCACAATGACATCACTGTCTCCAGAATGCCCAAAGTCTTAGAAATCAGTTGTTATAAGCTAGAAAAGAACTAAAGTTGGTTTAACATATTTATAGGCTGTCTGTAAGTTCATCCAATCATCCTCACTCACATCTCCAGGGCCTATGGGATTGGATCTTTCATTATACCTTCAGGCCCCTCTAACTCTTTGCTGGATACTTCTACTTGATTGTGTAAGGATAACTCAAAATAGTGATATAAATTAGTGACCTCTTTGTCTTGTCTGTACTTATCCTTCTCTTTGGGCATTTCTCTTTCACTAGGTTCTCCATTTTCTCAGTGTGCTTAGACAGGGTGGAAGCTGGGGTCATTGGCACAGCTTCATCCTAGAATCACATTGAACTTGCTGACATTCTCTGAGCTAAAGGAGCAAAATATTTTGAACACAGAATTGGATGGCTTTATTTTTTCTAAAGGCCAATAACCAGATTCTTCTTTGCTGTTCGTAATCTTCACGATGCATCATGGACCAAAACTTTCACCATGGTGCTGCCTGTACTTCTTGGTCACCAATGTTGGGAAAGTAAGTTCTGATATCTTACCTAAGATAGGTGGGAATCTCTCTTCTCCTTGAAAATATCAAGTTGAATATTGTAACAATGCAAAATTTAACAGAACTTTTGGATCTTAAAAAAGTACTATTTTAGTATAACTTGCAATTGAATTTCAGTGTTAATATTTGGCAATTTAAAAAAATTGTGTGACATTAGAATACACTTCTCATTCTCTGAGTGGTATAGTGGGAAGGCTTAGGGGTTTGGAGATGCTCCGAGAGTTGGTATAAGTGAACAAAACAGGGACATGTGTGTTTAGGGAGGGAAGGCCAGTATAACTCTGAGCCTAGGGATATTCTGTCAAGTTCCCAAAACCTAAGGAACACATGCTAAAGATATCAGGTGGAGACCTGTAGGTGTACGATTATCAGAACCATTTATTTTCCTTATAATTTCGGTATCATTGAGGTAAAAAAGCAGTTAGTCTGAGCCTACCTCATGCTGACATCAATTAATAATTTTATGATGGAAAGTTTCTTCACACAGTGACATTGCCTTTTCCATTCTTGTGATCAGAGGTGGGGTTCTGGGTGACTACAGTGTTCAAGGGAGTGCAGGCTGGGTGGATGGAGAAAGGTTTATCAGGCTACATGTGAAATACTTGAAATTGAGGCATGGCAGTTCCAGTGAAGAAACATCCCATGTATTCCCAGGCCTTACCTGCCATAGTTTTGGGACATCAGATTCTTTTAAAAAATATCTGTAGTGTTACTGCCAACAATTTGAGATAAGCCAATCTGGAAAGGTCTAAAATTGCCAGGGCTCTCTTTTCCTCCATTCCCCTTCTGTGATACCACTCATAATCCAGGGAACAATTTGAATGTGCTAGGTGTGGGGTACAGGTACATTGCTAATGTTTCTCTGATAATCAAAGGAAGCAGTTCTCCCTTTGCATGGGTCCCTGAGCATTCAGGCTGACTCTTAACTTTCCTCATCTAACCCCCATGCAGGCTCAAAATATTCTGCACTCAATAATTTGCTACAGATAAAATGTCACTCCTGTATAGAAGCCACCTGCATCAATGGAGGAAGAAGAGTCTCCATTTCATATCTCACATTTCACCAGTCACTCAAAAGATCAGCAGACCATATACTGGATGCTAGGATGAAGCCATACTTCTCCTTTAAACTCACCTTCTCAGGCTGCACTGAGCCCTGTTTCAAAAACATTTGGGCCTCATCAAACCTCAGTGCCTCCTGATGGCCAATGGTTCAAAGAAACTGGGCTCAGGCTCTCCATCCATGATTCAGGAAGGCTGATTGATTAGATCAGAGCAAATAGTAAATAGCAGACCATGTTTGCAAGAAGCTGAAAGGAATTCCTCCCTGCTCCACCTGATCCTTCTGATTGGTTTCAGCCCCCTCCTCATTACACAAGTACGTACATACCATCCAGCCACAACTTGGGACAAACACTACCCCTTCAGTCAATTCTCCAGAGTCTGTGAGTTCTTGGCCAACATGTAGAAAATGCAGAATCTCTTGATTTGAACAACATGTTTGCTAAGATGCCTCTTGATATACATTGCTAGCTAAGTTTTGTGATCATCTCAAAGATCTTGAGTTGTTTTGCCCTCAAACTTCACATTATTTTATTTTTTTTTAGGGACTTGAAAAAAAATCATAGTCTATTCCCTATGGAAAAAGCATATTATAGGGTTAAAAGAGAACTTATCTTATATTTTTGTTTTATAGAATATAAATTTATAATATTCTATATTAAATTATGGAATATTTCAGAGACACTAAAAATGAATGTAATAAATACCCACCATCAAACTGAAACGATGACAACATTTTTGGATCTTAGGATATTTCTTCTTCAATTTCTATTGAAAATAAACACCTATGAAAAAGTTGAAATGATTATAAAACAAATAGAATACTAAAATATATATCAATTTTTGACATATTTTGCTTTATCTCTTTTTGTATATTTTAACTTTAACTTCTGAAATGAAACACTTTATTCTTGATAATTCAGCATGTCTCTCCCCAAAACAGCAATTATGTTACATAACCACAAATGCCTTTGTAACACTATGAAACTTAACATTTACACGATTTTCTGATATGTACTTCATATTTAACTTTCTCAGTTGTTCCAGTGTGTCCTTTGGTTTTTATTATTTTTTCCTTGAGGACATTATCCAAGACCATGTATTTCCTTGGTTGTCAGAGTTCTTTAGACTTTTAAACTAGATGTCTCCTCTACTCATTTATTATATTTTTTGCTTTTCATGAAAAACAGAAGAGTCAAGGCCAGTTGATCAGTAAAATGATCCACAACCAGAATTCCCACAATATCAGAAATTAAAGATTTTGGAAAATGCCATACCACAGATGTTGTGTACTTCCCATTGTATCTGGTCAATTACAGGACATATACTATCATCTTTCCACATTTTTTAAAGATACTACATTTGAGGTGATGGACATCAGATCTCTTTATTTTGAAGGTGCCCTTTACATTTTTTAGTTAAGTAGAAGTAAGTGGAGTGTTACTTTAAAACAATATGAATATCCTGGTCCTCATACCCTTTCACTTGTTAGTTTTGGCATCAACTGATGGTCTTTGTCTATAACTACATTGATGGTTACATGAATTTTCTAATTAAATTTATTAGCTAGCATTCTTCTGCAATGAAGAGATTCTTAGCTATACTTTTTTTGGTCATTATAACCTCATAAATTTGTAAAATTTGTTATAATCTGGTTTCCCATTATTTTTCCTTGATGCTTAAATGCTCATGTTTGGCTAGTGGGCACCTCTTGAAACTGATTCTGTGTATTTTTTTTTTTACATGTTCTTTTGGTTCTGATATTTTTTTTCATTTCTGCCAAAATATGTTTCAGGATTTTCTCTGCCCTGAATCTAGAAGAAGCCATATCTGCTTTGTTTCTATTATTGTGGAAAAGTATTTAGAAATCTAATAATATGCAATGTCTTCCCACTAATACTGGAAACACAACTACAAAGAAATAAAGCAAAGAGTTTATATTGTTTTTAGACTTTCCATGGTTAGAGTTAGAAAATACGTACCTTTAAAAATAAGGTGCTCATATTGATACCTCCAATTCCAATCAGCTTCACAGATTTCTTTATCATCTCCCCTTATTTATTTATTTATGTATTTTTGAGTTGGAGTCTCACTCTGTCGCCCAGACTGGAGTGCAGTGGCACGCTTCCGGCCACCGCAGCCTCGACCTGCTGGGCTCCGGTGATCCTTCAGCCTCAGCCTTCCAAGTAGCTGGAACTACAGGCACGTGCTACCATACCCGGCTAATTTTTTAATTTATTGTAGAGATGAGGTCTTGCCAAGTTGCCCAGGCAGGTCTCGAACCCGTGGCCTCAGGCAATCCACTCATCTCAGCCTCCCAAAGCACGGATTACAGGCTGAGCCACTGAGCCCAGCTTATTTCTTATTTATATCTCTATTCTCTTGATGAGGACTCTGGTTCACAGAAATGTCAATTAATATACTCATTTTCTCTCTTCTGTAGTATATTAAAAATGTTTTAGAAATATACACTAAAAACACTAACAACAACAAATCTCCCAAGTGAAGTTCAACCTCAACTTTATTTAGCCTCCTAACAATAAAACTACTGAAATCTAAAGAGAGGGAAACCTCCCCAAAAAACTAGACAAAAAAATATATTACAAATGTTCAATAATACGATCCTTAACATCTTTTGTTTAGATCCTTTGTTCATTTTAAGTTGATTACACTCAACATATTGGAAAAGCTCTTTGACATTGGCCTTGGCAATGATTTCTTGGATAACAGAAAAAGCTCAAGCTTCAAAAGGAAAAATAAATGGAACTACATCAAACTAACAAACTTCTGCACAACACAAAAAATAATCGGCAAAACCAAAGAGCAACCTATGAATTGAGAAAAATAATTGCAAATCATATATTCGATAACAGATGAAAACCAAAATTTATAACTACCACGTACAACTCAATGGTAAGAGAAATATAACAATATTTAAAATGGGCAAAGTCTTTAATTCCAGCACTTTGGGAGGCCAAGGCAAGTGGATTGCCTGAGCCTGCGGGTTTGAGATCAGCCTGGGCAATGTAGTGAGACCTCATCTCTACAATAAATCAAAAAATTAGCCGGGCGTGGTAGCTCACGCCTGTAGTTCCAGCTACTTGGAAGGCTGAGGCGGAAGGATCCCCGGAGCCCAGCAGGTCGAGGCTGCGGTGGTTGTAAGCATGCCACTGCATTTCTGCCTGGGCGACAAAGCGAGACTGCAACTCAAAAATAAACAAACAAAAACAAATAAATAAAATGGGCAAATGACCTAAATATGAGAGGAGACCTCTCAAAAACCATGT